AGTCTACTCCTCCGCCATAAACCGCCGCTCTGCCTCACAGCGCGAAGTCAACGAGCTCCTGCAACGCAAGCACGCCTGGACCCCAACCGACCTGGAGCGCTTTACCTCCCTCTACCGCTCAGATCATGCGAACGAGCGAGCAGAGACGGACGCGCAGGAGGCGCTGGTGGTAGCCGAGCGGGAGGCGGAGGAAGCCGCTGCGGTGCTTAGCAAGAGCATCCTATCCCGGTACCACGAGGAGCAGATCTGGTCCGACAAGATCCGCCGCATGAGTACGTGGGGCACGTGGGGGTTGATGGGGGTTAATGTGCTTCTGTTTCTCATCTTCCAGGTTGCGGTGGAGCCGTGGCGGAGGCGGAGGTTGGTGAAGGGGTTTGAGGAGAAGGTTATGGAGGCGTTGGAGAAGGAGAATGGGTTGAAGCAGGGGCCGGGCGTTGAAAGTATTCCTGCTTCTGCTTCTGCTTCTGCTTCTGCCACTGATGCTGCTGGTGCTGTTGCTGCGATGCAGATCGCACAGTCATCCGCTGTCTCCACACCCGTATCCACGCTCGTATCCGTCTTGGATGAAACTCAACCCGGACCATCAGAAGCTAGCCTTGCCATTGAGCCGGAGGTTCTCGATTCAATTGGCTTAGCTCCCTCTATCCACACGCACCCCACCGAGCCGCTATCGCCATCATCAAACCCACCTACAACCACCACTCCTCCGTTCTCCCCCGACATCACGCTCTCTCCGGATTTCTGGGCTCAGACGATCCATGACCTCTTTAGTGAACGGCGTATCACGCTTTCGCAGCGGGAGCTGACGACGGTAGCGCTTCAGAGCGCTGCGGCCGGTGCAGCGATGATGGGTGTGTTGATTGCGATATTTAGGCCGCGGTAGAAGAGCCGTGGGGAGGCGCAGAGAGTGAGGATTTACTGTGAAGGAAACGAAAATTTGCGGGAGACAGTGCCATGTATGATGGTGGATAGATAGATAGATAGATCTTACCTTTTCTCTCTTGGATGATCTAGGCATTTTTCGTCTTGATTTGGCCTTTTGAGTATATGTATTATTACCAATTTTTGGCTCTCTCTATATATATGGGGCAGGCTAATCTTGAATGAAGAAAAATTTCATTATGATTTGTAATGCTACAGTTCTGGGATTGATGACGGTTATCCCAATTGCTGGACAGATGGCGGTTTACTAAAGTTGTATTATTATAGCTCTTCATTGGCATTCATTTTTTCGTTCATAACCTGCACACTGGAGAGCAGCATGGATGGAGTGCGACCAAGAGAACAGACATATCATGGCCAACCGGGAGAATCCTAAGAAGTCCTCAGGAAGAAAAATGGTTTCTAGGCTCAAGTGTCAATCAGCAACAGGTTTGGACAGAGGCTGATGTCTGTCCTTTGACAACATGATCGACAGCCAACTCCAGAGAAGGCAGTATAATGATGACTTCTTTTTCCGTTCCTGTCCTGTTTCCTATACACAGTACATACCAACGTAATAAGATAGAAAAAGGGGGAAATAAATAAAAAATAAAATAATATCACACATGCCCTTAAAATCAAATCAACCTGCCCTCTTCAACCCCTTTTCTGAACACACATTTCCGAAACCTCCAGGAAGCACAACACTGATAAAAGGAATCCGTAGAGAAGGATCTAAGACTTAGACATGCGGGAGCCTTGACACCGTTAAAAGAGGAAGTACATGGAAAAACGTATATGTGACAATATCTATTTTTTTGGACTTTATATCTCTCTCCCCACACCTAACATAAGAAGGGGGGGTTAAAATACATGGGTAAGAATTACATCGATGATTTCCCCAGCTTATTTACACGACACGGCACAGTCAACACAGCAATAACTCAAGAGATGTAATTTAAAAAGGCGACAAAAATTATACAAAAGAAAATGGATGGAGTTGAGGTCAGGGGAATGTGGGGGGAAGAAAAAAAAAACACTTCTGCATATGGGATTGTTTTGAAAGTATTTTATATAGCCAGTGTTGGTTTGATTATGCTCCCTTTTCTTTTCTATTCTCCTTTTCTTAACAAAAGGATATGTCTTACCCGATGAGCAAAGTATTTTCAGTAGGGAAAGAATACGTCGGGATCTCAAGGTTGAGCGGGGCGGGGCCCTTTCTGATTCGGCCGGAGATGTCGTAGTGGGAACCGTGGCAGGGGCAGAACCAGCCTCCATATTCACCGGCTTCGCCGATAGGAACGCAGCCGAGATGCGTGCAGACGCCTTAATTTATTTTCATGACTCTGGTTAGCTGTCGGAGCGGATGCAGTTTTGAGGGGGTAGTTTGAGTTTGACTGGGATTGATATTTAAGTACCAAGCATAACAAGCCATTCAGGATTCTTTACACGATCTGAATCGGGCTGGGGATCCCGCAAAGTCTCCCATTTAGTGTTTTCGGCTTCTTGGACTTCGCTTGGGGTGCGGTGGCGGATGAAGACGGGTTTGCCTCGCCATTTGATGATGACCTGTTTTTCATTTTCATGTGAGCGTGAAGGTGCATGGGAAAATGTTAAGATGTTTGATTATGGTCTTGGATTCGGGGATGTGGGCTTCTCTTTCGACATATAGATAGTTAGGGGAAACGTGGGGGTTATGGGTGGAATGCGTACATTTTTGCCTTCTGGGATGGCAGAGAGGGAAATTTCGACCTTTGCCTGAGCCAGAACGTCGGCGGAGGCGGACATGTTGAGGAGGAAATCTGAAGTGGCATGTTCGATTAGCGAAAAGTCGGACAATCCACGCGAATTCAATTGCTGATTTGGCTTCGTTATGCAATCCCAAAATTACTGAAACCACAATTGGATCTCAAGAAAAGGGTTCTCTCTCTTCCACACCGTTCTCCAAAATTGACCCCCAAGTACTCCGTATATCCACACAACAACCAGCCACCTGCAAGGGCCAAGATTACCCCAACAAAATCAACAAAATCAAAACTCACCATGCACAGTCGCCTTCGCACCAACAGCAGTTAACAACCCCATACTCCCAGCCATGAAGTAAGAGAACACTTTGTTCGATGTCTCCCCGCCCTTGCTAGCATATTTCTTGAAACTAGGGATTTTGAGCGTCGATGCGCTGTCCTTGGACTGGCCGAAGGGGCTGTCGAAGGAAGAAGTCGTCGAGGTCGAGGTAGTGACTTGTCCTCTGCGTTGCTGCTGCTGCTGCTGTTGTGAAGTGAGTGCGGTAGCTGTGCGGCGGACGGAGGAGAGAAGCGGGCGGGCACAGGCCCGGGTCAGGGTGGAAGCAGAAGAGGTGGCGAGCGGAGGCATGGTGGGTAGGGCAGGGCCAAAGCGATTGAGCAGTTTTACTGCGGAGGAGGTGTTGTGGCTCTGATGGTTGAGTGTTGCGAGGAGTGAAGTTGGAGTTGGAGTTGGCTGAGGGTTAATGAAGTCTTTTTGATGGTTGGAAATTCGCGAGGGATCGGAGCCCAATCACGGGGACGCTGATTGGTCCACTGGGGCACACTACAAAGACTATGAACAAGCTACAACAAGAACAAGAACAAGAACAACAAGAACAACAAGAACAGAGGAGGGAGGAATTGGGATGGGAATTGGAATCAGGATAAAGATACGATTGAATGCCGATAACAGCAATACATGCAACAGTCAACGGATATTTATTTTTACGCCAATTTAACTCCAACCCCATTGAAAAGAAACAGCCCATGCCACCAAGTGCTCATAACGATAATTCAATGCGCCGAAAAAAAAAAAGGAAGAGGGGGGGGGGGGGTTGGAAGGAGAAAAAGAAGAGAAGAAAATAAAAAGGGACACGAAAAATCATCCAGATTTAATCCAACATTAAAACAGTGCCGTCCCATATAAAAAGTCCCATGCCAAATATATAAGCTTATTACAAGAGGAAAGGGGTATATATCGCAATTAAACTTCCACGAAGTCAACTTCTTTTTCATAGAATATTTATGAACTGCAACTACACATTGTCGCTCGCTGGTACCGTGGGACATCTCCGCAGAATCGCTCTTCCTCATCCTTATTCAAGTCCCACCCATCCTGGAACGGATTAAGGGCCATATGTATGATGCGGTCGAGAATTTTTCGATCACCCTTGTTCTCGACACGCTGAATCACCTCATCAAGAACCCAGGAACGTGGGAGGAACTATATATCGATATTAGTAACTTCTATCAAATCGCACAACACTGCATGCGTCCATCTTAGATG